TACCTTTACCTTTTTCCTGAGACACCAGTCTCCTCTTCCCCCCCTCATAAGAAAACCTTTATTCCACAAAACTCTCCAACCAATTCCATTGCAGAAACAATTACCTTCTCACAAAACTCTCCAACAAACTCCACTGCAGAAACAATGGATGACATTCAAAGCTATATGCTTGAGACACAAGATCCCATAACTCATGCTCCTTCCACACTTGAAGTGGTTCCCTCCTACTAATATTCCCCCTACACCCCTTCCTCCTACTCCCTCTCAACACAACCTAACCCTCAATTCCATCCCCTGATATCATCCCCTCTTACTCACAACACCCCTACACCCTTCCTCCTAATCCCTCCCAAGACAACACATCCCCTTCAACTCCAACTATCCATCCTTCTGATATTCATCCTCCTACACTAATACTCCCCCACATCTACTCCCTCCCAACACAACCCACCCCTTCAACCCCAACTATAGGCACATTCTCCCTCCCTCCATCCCCTCTATCCTTTGCACTCCCTCCAGGATACACACGAGAATCACTCATGGCACAACAATGCCCTTCTCCAGATTCCCTACCTCCTAATATCCCTCCTTTACACCCCCTAGCTCCTTCCCCCAAATTCCCCAACGTAATGTATCATTCATCATAACTATAGCTCTCCTACATTGGAATATTCGCGGTTTCCGCTCTCATAGATCAGACCTACGTCATATCCTTGCTTCTTATAATCCATCTATTATCTGCCTCCAAGAGACTTTCCTCACACACCCTCCTATTCCAATTCCCAATTACCATTTTATCTCTTCCCCACACTCCCTTTATGTCTCGTCTATACTTATCCATCATAAAACACCTTATGTCATACCTCCCATACAAACTTCTGTCCCGTGCACAGCTATTCGCATCTTTCTTCGCCGCTGGATCACAGTGATTTCAGTCTACTTCTCCCCATCCCATCCCATTGACTTTACTGCCTTTGAACTCTAATTTCCCAACTCCAACCACCTTTCCTCATAGTTGGTGATTTCAACTGCCGCCACACTCTGTGGGGTGACTCTACCACCAACTCCCGAGGCCGATCTCTAGAACGCTTCCTCTTCACAAATAACCTAATTATTCTTAATTCAGATCGCCCCACACACTTTGACATGCGCACACAATCCTTTTCATGCCTTGACCTCTCTCTATGCTCTCCTACTTTACATCTAGATTTCCATTGGTCAGTTCTAGACCACTTCCCCTATAGTGACCACTTCCCAATACTCCTTTCTCCTACTTCATATGTACCACTTCCTAATCCTCCACGCTGGTGCTTTGATAGAGCTGACTGGCATACTTTCACTTCACTCTCTACTATACCTATCCCTCCACCCCCTTACCGTCCATTTCAGATATGCTACATTGTTTTACAACCACGATCCTAAGAGCTGCCTATACAGCCATTCCTCGAACTTCAAGACCTACTTCTAAATGTGTTCCATGGTGGAATTCTGATTGCTCCAAAGCGCTCCGCTTAAAACGAGCAGCCTGGAACAGCTATCGCTACAAACGAGGCACCCCTCACCAGCTATCAGCCCTTATTTCCTTTAAAAGAGCATCTGCCCATCTTCGCCGTACAATTAAAACAGCAAAACAAATAGCTGGCAAAATTATGTTTCCTCAATTACATCTTCTACATCTATTTCAGCTGTTTGGCGACGGATCCATAAACTATCAGGCAAACATCCCCCCCATCCTGCACCCGTCCTCCATATTCGAGATATTCTCATCTCTGAGCCTGTAGAAGTAGCTAATGAACTGGGCAACTATTTCAGCCAGGTCAGTAGTGGCTCTCACCTTTCCCCACACTTTTCTTCCATTAAAACCATCAAGGAAGCACCCTATTACCTTCACCCTATCCTCTGATGAGTCCTATAATGCTCCTTTTTCTTCTTCTGAACTCAACGCTGCATTACAGTCGTGCCGCAACACTCATGAAGGCCCTGATGGTATTCACTATCGTATGCTCCGACACCTCCCATCTTCCTCTCTATCCTTCCTTTTAACTATTTTCAACCACATATGGACGTCAGGAAATTTTCCTTCTCATTGGCGAGATGCTCTCATCCTACCTTTCTTAAAACCCAATAAATCAGGTACCCTACCCCAAGATTACCGCCCCATAGCTCTAACTAGCTGCTTGTGCAAACTACTAGAACGAATGGTTAACTTCCGTTTAATGTGGTACCTAGAATCTCATAATCTCCTTTCCCCTTCCCAGTTTGGTTTCCGACGTGCCCGAAGTACAGCAGAGATATATTACATCGATTTGCACGCCATGAATCCGTATTAGCCATTTCTTTGATCTAGAAAAAGCATATGACACCACATGGCGATACCATATCCTCCAACAATTGTCCTCCCTAGGTTTACGTGGAAACATGGGGTTTTCATTAAATCCTTCCTTTCTAAACGTACTTTCCAGGTCAAGATTGCCTCTTCCACTTCATCATCCTTTCCTCAATTCGAAGGCGTCCCACAAGGAAGTGTGCTTAGTACCACTTTATTCCTTCTTGCTGTAAATGACATAGTCTCAGTCCTACCACCAGGAGCCAGAGCATCACTATATGTTGATGACTTAACCATCTATGCATCTGGCACATCCATACCAGATCTCTGTCAATTCCTTCTTGGGCCACCAACCATGGCTTTCGCTTCTCTACCTCTAAATCTTTCCCCATCCTTTTCTCTCGCTCACGTACGGTCCCCAAACCCCCACTCTTCTTATATAATGCTCCACTCCAATACCGTCTTCTGGCAAATTCCTAGGCGTTATATTTGATTCCAAATTGTCCTGGCGAGACCATATCTTGTATATCAAAGAAAAAGCTCAACGTCGCCTCCGAATCTTACAAACTCTTTCACATATCTCCTGGGGCTCAGATCGCAAAACTCTCCTCCATCTTCATGTTACTTTGATTCTCTCCACTCTAGATTATGGATGCCATATCTACTCCTCTGCCTCAACCTCTCTTCTTGCTCACCTTGATACAATCCACCACAGCGGTCTCCGCTTAGCCCTAGGCGCCTTCCGCTCCTCTCCAGTTGAGAGCCTATATACTGAATCAGGCATGCCGTCCCTCTCTCGACGTCGAGCCCTTCTCTCTCTCCGATGCTATGCTCGATTTCACCAATTTTCCCTTACCAAACTAACTATTCCACAATCCTTACTTCATACCTTTACCTCTTCTCCACGTTTACCAACTCCTCTCCCCGTACGCATGGATACCCTCCTCTCCCATTCCCCCTTCCCTCATCTCCGACCTCTCCCACTGTCTGTCCATTCCATTCCTCCATGGCTTATACCTAACCCCTGTATTTGCTCCTCAGTTTTCCCTGACCCACCAAAATCAGATATTCCCCCCTCTATCCTTCTCACTCATTTCCTTGACCATGTCTCCATTCATTCCTCCAGCATTCATGTTTACACTGACGGTTCCAAATCCATCTCAGGAGCTGGATTCGCAGTAACATTCCCAAATTGCACTTTCAAATACACCCTCCCTCCTGAATCTAGTGTCCTTACTACAGAACTATATGCACTCCTTTTTGCCTTAAGACGCATATATTCATCCACCTCTTCCTCTTTTACTATTTTTACTGACTCCCGTAATTCTTTAACCCTCATAAAGTCAATGCACTCGACCAATCCCCTTGTCTGTAAGATCCAGAACTGGTTGTTCTATCTATCCACACGTCACAAATCTGTCAGATTTTGCTGGGTACCCAGCCATGTTGGAATCCCTGGCAATGAACAGGCAGATACTCTTGCAATATGCCGCAATGTCCACATCACCTCAACTAACGCTTCTCACATATTCCAGCTACGGATTATTACCCCCACTTTAAAACCTCCCACCCTCCCCATCCCTCCCCTATCCCATCCCCCATCCCTCTCCATCCTACCTCCCCCATCCTTCTCCATCCCCCACCCCTCCCCCATCCCATCCCTCTCTTAAGTACCCCAGTAAATGAAAGTAAGCGGAGAGGCGGAAGAACACGGACACTCGATGGCAATCCTTTTTGGTCAAGACTCCACAAACAATAAATTACATACAGTAAAAACCTCTCCTCTTGGTCAGCTCCATTTCACAAAAACAGACGTTGGGAGACGGCCCTCGCACGCTTAAGTATTGGTCACACTCGCCTAACACACGCCTATCTAATGTCACGCTCAGACCCGCCCCTATGTCCTCTATGTAACGTCCCTCTTTCAGTTCCACACATTCTCTTGTCCTGTCACGCTTTAATACAGCACGTACCTCTGCTTTTCCACACTTATCCTCCTTTCACCGACGTCCAACATATCAGACATCCTTACAGAATCTCACAGCTTCTGCTTGACAACCTGTTCTTCCTTCCTGAGACGCATAAACATCCTTCACTTTGATCTAACTCCCTTACCTAAACCACCATAACCTTTTCCCCCATCTTCAACCTTTCAACACTACTCTAGATAGCTGACACATGGCAACTATCACCTGACACCCCCCTTTACTATACCTTCCTATAGTGCTATATGACCTTAGATGTCTACACTTTTTTTTAACATTAATCATTAACCATTCGGTTCAGTCTGCAGAAGAAGCGATGCTTAAATCGATATATCTGTGAGTGCGTGTGCGTGCATGTTGTGTTGTGGAGGTCACGAGGTGGATTATAATTCAGAGGCATTATTTCGTTATCTCGCCTCTCGATAAGCTTATCATAGAACTGGCAGGTTGTCATGCTGATATGTTGTAACATGGCAGCAAAAAAAACAAACAAACAAACTTGATGAGGAACATCATTACAATCAGTATCTATGTATGGAAAAAGCAATACATTCTTATTGAATATATATTAACATACACCATGAATATAGGTAAGCCTTACCTGGGGATATATTGTTATAAAATGGTAATATGGCAACTGTATTTATTCGGAGTGCGTTGCCCAAGAAAGCCCAGTTGCTTAGTTGTGAAGAACAGTTCACAAAGTGCTGTTAGGAAACCAGACGAGCCAATCAGTAGATTTCCAGCCCCGGAATGGTAAGACAATTTAATACTACTATCACGTAAAGAATATTTAAACTCCAGGAAGTGACAGTTTAATATCGAATTTATTTTGTGCATGCAGCAGCGGAGGGAAGAGGCTCGGAGGGGTTAGTCAAGCCTTGCATCGGCGGACTTGCACCATTATGATCCCAAACGGAGGGCGTGTTGTATCCAGCCGAAAATCTATTCATGATAGCACTGACGTTCAAAATTCCTGTTAGGCGCCCAAAAGAATGGGCTTCATGTGTCTTAACGCTTTTTTAGCGACAAATCCCGCTACTTCCGCATTAAAACGGCATACTTCTTGCTCTCAATACCGTAGCAGGAAATCCCCCCCCCCGACTGAAATTCTCCGGGAAAATTAGCCTAGACTTGATTTCCTCTTGGGATTAACAGCCTGGGTTATTTTCCCCCCAGGGGAATTTCAGACCTAGGATAGTTCCCGCCCCCCTCAGGGACCTCCCCTTAAGTAGATAATAATTTACAGAACTTTAAGGGAAGAGCCCGGACAACTACGCTTTGGCGACACACATTGATGATATATAGGGGGATTTGCGCCCAATCCCCTTTCAGGGAAGGCTTCCGTCCCCTTAGAGAGAGAGAGTGGGATAGGTCAGTAACAATACAGATCATTATTATTATTGTTGTTATCATTATTATTACTATCACCATCATCATCATGACTGATTATTTGTTTGATATCAATAATTTTTTTTCTAAGTGAAATACATATAGCCAATGGACATGGAAGAGAATGAGAGAGAGAGATAATATCCCGAATGTTTAGAATATTCTCTTAGATTAATTCTATGGGATGTTTGAGCGCATCAACCAGGTTAAAAGAGCTCTCATCTGGTCATGAAAACCTTTACCTCGTACGGGAATCTTGGGCCAGAAGGGAGTCATATTTCCCCCGGGGGAAATTTCGGACAGGGGGAAAAAGAGACGGTACAGGAGTAGTGACATCTCGTCATACTTTCGTGTTGAGTGATTTGTTGCAAATCACATCTTCAATGATAAGAATTTTGATTATAATATAGTATTTACAATAACAATATTTGCAACAAAACATGATAAAGATAACAATAAGAATTGATAATGCATATATTATTGCTCTATTTATGGTTCTGTTTAGGTACATAATAGAGGAAGCATCTCGCTTTCACCGTAAAACATTTATACCCAGATGAAGTGGGCGGTGCTGACGCTGGCGCTGATGGGCGTGGCGTGGGCGGAGTTGGCTCCACCCGAGAGATCCTACAAGATCCTGATGCTGTTGCCAGTCTCCTCGAAGAGCCACAGGAATGTCTTCTTGCCGGTTGCTGAGGGATTGGCAGATCGAGGACACAAGGTTAGGCGTGACAAGGAATAACTACATTATATTATTATATTATTACATTATTATATTATTACATTATTATATTATTATATTATTATATTATTAAATTATTATATTATTATATTATTATATTATTATATTATTATATTATTATATTATTATATTATTATATTATATTATATATTATTACAAGGAATAACTATGTTATCTGTATATGCTCCTAAGTAGCGTCCTAAATTGCCTTTTTCTATTCGTCATATGTCATTATCAAGGGGGGAGGAGGAAGAAGAGGGAAGGAGGGAGTGGAGGAAGTGGAGGAGAGGGAAGGAGGAAGTGGAGGAGAGGGAAGGAGGTAGAGGAGGAAGTGGAGGAGAGGGAAGGAGGTAGAGGAGGCAGTGGAGGAGAGGGAAGGAGGTAGAGGAGGAAGTGGAGGAGAGGGAAGGAGGTAGAGGAGGAAGTGAGGAGAGGGAAGGAGTAGAGGAGGAAGAAGAGGGAAGGAGGTAGAGGAGGAAGTGGAGGAGAGGGAAGGAGGTAGAGGAGGAAGTGGAGGAGAGGGAAGGAGGTAGAGGAGGAAGTGGAGGAGAGGGAAGGAGGTAGAGGAGGAAGTGGAGGAGAGGGAAGGAGGTAGAGGAGGAAGTGGAGGAGAGGGAAGGAGGTAGAGGAGGAGTGGAAGAGAGGGAAGGAGGTAGAGGAGGAAGTGGAGGAGAGGGAAGGAGGTAGAGGAGGAAGAAGAGGGAAGGAGGTAGAGGAGGAAGTGGAGGAGAGGGAAGGAGGTAGAGGAGGAGGTATTAACAAAGCTACATTCTCCATACGACTTTGTTACCGGAATCCCTGTATTTATTTGCGTGTTTAGTATTCACCCTTTATCATTTACTTATTATTCCATCATTATCATTGTTATAGTATTATCATTATTTTGATCATTGTTACTAGCTTTACTATCATCTTTATAACTATTATCATCATCATGAGCCTATTATCATATTTATCTGCTATTATTATAATTCTAATCACTATCACTATTGTTATAGTTATCATAATAATAATAATTATTATTATTATTATCATTATTATCATTATCATTATTATCATTATTATTATCATTACCATTATTATTATCATTATTATCATCATTTTCATTATTATTATCATTATCATTATTATCATTTTCATAATCATCACCCTCAAACCCCATCCTCACCGCCATCCTCAACCTCAACATCACAATCCATCAAGCGTCATTATCAACGAGTCCGAATCCCCTTTGCAACTGCAGATCGTGATCCTGGCCAACCACCCTCCGGCATTAAATCACCCAACGTCGAAGAAATCAACCACGGTCTGTCAGAGTTCAACACGGAGGCCATGGACTTGTTTGCAATGAGACCCGACCCGGCTGTTGTCTTCAAGGTGTTGCAAGACGCTCTTCCCATCATCGCCAGGAAGCTGTACAAGATCCCGAAAGTTAAAGAGCTTTATGACAGAAGAAAGGAATTTGACCTTTTAGTTATCATCACATGTTTAATGAGGTGAGTTTGGTTGGTCATGTTTGTAATAGGCGTTTTCATTTCCTTTTCTAGTTAGGGGAAACTGCTAT